ACATTCTCCTAACGTATCCTGAGTGGATGGTCTAGCACCCTTTTTTTAGAATGCTTAAGTCACTTAGCACCTATTTTTCTCAGCTTTGGAGCTTCTGCCAAAAGACACGAAAAAGTCTCACTTAAAATACCATATACCTTAAAAAATTTGCCAGGATTTTTCTAAGTTCTTAACGATTTTTGGTATCATGGACCTCTTTGACATTCTGGTAAAGCCTATGGACCCCTTTCTCAAAGTAATGTTTCCATGTGCATAAAACAAAATACATAAGATTATAAAGGAAACCAATTACATGGAAATAGAGTTTTATCTTCTGGTTCTATGGAGTAACCCAAGTTAAAAACTTACATAAGAATCTTAGTACTTTATAATTATTATTATATTTATCTTCTCAATACCCCAATGAGGAAACTGAGGCATAATGAGGGTAACTGCCTTGCCTAAGACCACACACTCGGTAAGTGGCAGTGAAACATTTCAAACTCTAGCAGTTTGACTTCACAGCATTGTTTTGACACTATGCATATAGGATCCCCCAAATTCATTTTAGGTTGAGGTAACAACTAACTCAGTATCGGGAAAGTAGAAACAACAAGTATTACTGCATGAACTGGTTTGCTGAGCATTACATGATAGCTTTGGTAATCTAAGGGAAGGGACAAACATTTAGAATTAATCCAAGCCCATTTTTTCCCCCTGGGCCAGGGTAGGAGAAGACTTCAAGTCCAAATGTGAGGCTGTGTCCACTTCCCGCTGCATCTATCCATGTCTTATGGTTTAAGCCACTATTTGTTCAGTTTTCTTTTGCTTGTAGCTAACAGCATTCTAACTTATATACCAAATCATGACTAAGATTGAATATTCTGGCAACCCAGGAGATGAGAGGCTTGAAGCAAATTACATTGATTTAAGAAAATAAATAAAATATGGCATTTCTTATTCTCCTGTTAAAGAGTAAAATTCATACCCAGTGTGTGATAATATCTATTTCATAATGTTTATTGTGGAATTAACGAAGATAATGTTCTTAGGAAAGTTGCTTTAAGTGGTAGTCATTATTAGTACTCTTCCCATTAGGCTGAATATTTGGAAGTTGTGGGAAATAGGAAGGAAGCAGCAGAGAAGAGATAGAAGGATAAACTAAAATAGTCTTACAAATTCCAGGTTCTTCAAGTGTCACGGGAGCCATTTACTTTATAAATGTAAAATATTTCCACATAGAACTTGGCCTGTGCATTTTTAGTTATTATTCATCTAGTAATGTCACACATTGGTATTGTCATTCTCCCTATTTTCCATTTTGACTAAATGGGAATTTTGAAAACTAACAGAAAGAATTGCTCATTCTTGTTCCTTAGCTAGCAATAGTAACATTTGCTCTCATGTTTTAACTATCCTTATAAAATTATTTTGGCCTTTCACCACATGAAATTTTAAAATCTGCAATTCTGATGGCATGTTTTGGCCCAGGACTGCACATGGAAACAGCATCTTGTTTGTTGTCCACTCCCACACTAGTTTACTATATGTTAGACAGAACCTCAGAGCAATGAACACCCTGCCCACCCCCTCCTTATTGGCCGGTTTCATATATTATTTGGGAGCCTAATTAAGTGGGACACTAAAAAAGGAAAAGCTAAAGAGGAATTGAAATCAGTAACTTCACCATCAGTACAGGGTTGGAATGCCTCTTAATATTCATTTGTTTAGGAGCTAAGGATCTATAGTAGAAATTCTTCATCTGGGATCTATGAATTGGTTTTGGGCATCTGGATTTGTATGCATATTTTTTTCTTTTAATAATGTATGAGCGTGTCTATGGGCATTTTTCTGGGGGAAAGTCCCCATCGTTTTCACCAGATTCTCAGAATGGTCTTAGATCCCTCAAATGGTTACATACTACGATACTAGCTCTTGACAGCATTGTAAAAGGATCCAATTCTTCTAATCCAGTTTCTCCATCCATTTGGCAAGGGGGTGGTGCGGAGGGAGAGCCTCTACCCTAAACAAAAATGGCAGGAGCTGCTTCACATGTAGAGAGGCTAGAAGGCCCCCCTCCACTTTCTCTCCACCTTCCCACTCCTGACCCCGGAAGGACTCCGCCTTCTCTGCCAGGCTGCTGCTGCTCAGCGCCCGGCTGCGACAGAGAAGCAGCTGTGGGCCGGCTGCACCTGGCCTGGAGCACCAGGTACACGGGTGGAGGGGTCGGGCATGGGGCGGGCAGGGTCGCAAGGCCCGCGGGCCAGAGGCGGCGGGCGGAGTGGGGTGGGGACGGATCCGAGCGCCGCCTCAGCCCTCTGGACTCCGAGTGCGGGGTGGAGGAACCGAAAGCCGGAGGACGCCGGAGGGAAGCCCGCTGGAGCAGAGTGGGCTCGTGTCTCACCCGAGTGAGGGTCTGGACGGCCATGCCGAGAGGGAGCCCCTTTTCTGGTCTTCTCGATAAAGGAAAAGGGAGACCGCAGAGGAGAGTGCGGTGGGCGGTGGGGCAGGTGGTGCGGTCCAAGTTTCTGCTTGAATGCCAGTGGTTCAAGCAGGGAGGGGTTTTTGCACGGGGGAGACTACACTTTGAAGATGCTTTGGCATCAGGATTGTCGCGTCGGAGCCCTTCTATTAATAAAGTTGTTCAACATTTGTTTCATGGAGGGATGACTCTTAAAAGATTTTGCACTTGCACAGACCTTTATTATTATGTTTATTTTATCGTTATCGCAACTAAGCATTTTTGCTGTGTATCATCTCAGAATTCGGTTGTACAGATTTCTGCTTCACGTCAAATTTTGGGGGGGTATTTCAGACTTTCATTCTTGCTTGGATTATAAATCCAATTTGTAGAATAGAATTTTAGGGTGTTTAAGAAGCAAACTCTATGACACATTTTTAACTCTCCAGTGGTTAGAATGGAGAGGAGAGTAATATTACATAGTACAATACTTTTGGTGATGTTTTAGATCCCCCTGTACAAATGTGAATAATCATGAAACTTCTTTCATGTTTATTTTAATTAAATCTTATGAAAACAACTGAAATGATTGGTTTTTAAAGTTACTTTAAATTAATTAATGATTGAGTTTGAAATCACTTCTTCAGTAATTTTAAGTGAAAGATGATGAGGTAGTTAACTGTGCAAAACCAGAGATTTGCCAGAATTCTTTTAAGAAAACCCCTGCAGCAAATTGAAGTGTTTGCTTTATTTTCTTTCTCCTCTGCTTAAAAATTTGGAGCCCTCTATTATGGGGAAAATCACTTTGGCTGAACTACTCTCAGTATGTTTTTTTTTTTTTTAATGCAGTAGCATAGATGGCTTGATAATCCACTATCTATTTTATTACTAAAAACATTTCTCAAAAATAAGTCAGTTTGGGGGTTGGAGTGTGGGTAAATAAATGAGCTTTTATTTTCTGAGTATAGCATTTTTAAAAAGTAATACAAGTAGGCACTTTTTGAAAAAATAAAATATTAGAGAAGGACTTACAGTGAAAAGCAGTGGTTTTCCTCCCAACACCCCGAGTCTCATTCCCCAAAGAACCATTTTTTCACTTGTTTAACTGTTTCCTCATGATTTCCTTTGTATTTCTTGATAATGTTTATATCAGATTTTTGGTTGGGATAAATGTATTGTACTTCAATTAGAACTAGTTATACTGAGTCTAAACATTGTAATTAGAATATGGGTGAGGGGAAATTAAGTTTACCCTGTGTCACTAATAGGGAATAAGGTGTTAGTAGTAGCATTAACCCACCTTAAGAATATTACTGTGTTTGATTTGAAAGAAAAATATTTACAGTGGTTTTAATACTGGACTGAAAAAATAGGGTGGTATTCGCAGAAGGGAGTAGTCTACTGGAGTCTAGCAAAAGAAAGCAGAGCGATATATGCAGAAATATAAAGGACTTAAAGAAAGTATAGCAAATAAGCTTTTATAGAGGGATTATAGATAATTTTTATTTTCTCTTTTATAATGTTCATATAGCATTATACAAGGAAAAGAAATACTAAATCGGGTAGGCATAAACATGCTGGAGAAGCCTACTCTTTGGCGCACCAGAGACAATTCTCAGGCTTTCATCTAGTCAGGATCCATTAATTTTGTGCTTACTAGGCAGCCTTTTTTACTTATTATTAATTCAGCTCTCTACAGTCTTTTATTTCACAGAGGATATGTTTTGATAGCGTAAGTATTCTTTCATTAGATAGTACATTTCCTTATTGTAAATGAATAAATTTGTAAACTAATTTATGCATCAATACTATGTGAATTTGTTCACTATGTGTCAGCCAGGTATACTGATAAGATTGGGTTTCTGGCTCTACAACGCATAGACCGAGACCCGGAACCACTGTGCTTCTTTCAAGGTCTGCTACCTTCAAGGGTCTCTGAGTGACAGCATCATCAGTAGACATCTAACTTTTCTTTCTTTGATTTCAACAGAAATGGGCATTAAAACAATATCAAAATTTTGTAACATGTATGTGGCAGTTCTCTGAAGATCTTTAAAATGAGACAGTACGAGAATAAATGCATGAGTTCGGAAGTTCAGTGAACTCTGAGGTTCCTTTCTAGCTCCAGGAGTCATGGTTTCAATCACATTCCTTTCAGTACCACAGCCTCCCTCCCGCCCCCACCTTACCCACCCTCACTGTTATTTGAAGGAAATAAGTGGGAAGAAATAGATTTTAAATTATTCTCTAAAAGCTGAAACATTTAACTGGAAAAGAGAGAACCTAGAACCCGTAGTTTTCTAAGGAAAATTTACTACCTGAACTCAAAGTTTAAATCTAACTCATTTTCTTTTGGGCTGCTTTGGTGATTAATAAATAAATATTTATGTGTAGCTCAAGTAAATTTGGCTCAGAATGGTACTTTCTTTGGGTAAGTGTAATATCATGAATAAATAATTGCAACAAAAAAAGCTGATAAGAGTTATATTTTTAATTTGTATCTTCCATTAATAGAGTAACCAGAAATCTTTGTGACTAACATATTTTTATGTTTCATTTAATGAAGATTAGAAGAGGAGTCATGTCAGAAGAAACAGTAAGCGAATCACCGTTTTCCCTGAAGACAGCAGCACTAAGAGTATTTGATCTTCCTCTGTCTTGGTACTATTCTCTCTCCCAGGTAAAAAAACAAAAAAATAAATGAAACTAACATGAAGTTGAATAAAAAATTTATAGTTCAGAGCATATTTTGTTTATAGTATTTAACTTTCAATTGAAGTTTTAAGTGGTTCAGGCAAAATGTTTATTAAAGTAATTTAAACCTTACTTGGTTTTTATTTTATTTTTTTTGTTATCATATTCATAACTCTTAAAAGGGGGTGGTGTTACTTTTAAAAAATCTTCCTACCTTAAGTGAGTTTACACAGTTCATTACAATTATTTTCTGTGAATTGTTATTTGAATCGACCTGTTCTCATTATTATAATCCTTTCATTTTAATTTTATTTTATTGTGGTAAAATATACATAACATAAAATTTACCATCTTAACCATTTTTAAATGTACAGTTCAGTAGTATTTGGTATACTAGATATGACAATTAAGTTTGAGAATTTGCCACTGCGTTTACATTGGCAGCTCTGTGTACAAACAGCTCGGTAAAATTTCATAACCTTGGTACATCAGTGCCTCCCAGCTGTGTCCGTATCGATGTGTGGTGGTGTCTTGCTGAGTGGCATTCCTTAGTGTTGTTGCATTTTTGTGTGCTGTTGCAAGAATGAGCTTGATTTAGAGCAATGAACAAATATTCAATTTTTTGTTAAACTTGGCAAGAGTGAAAGTGAAATCAGGGACATGTTAGTCCAAGTTAATGGGGATAGTGCTATGAAGAAAACAGCAATGTACAAATAGGTTAAACATTTTTCTCAGGGAGAGAATGTGTCACTGATGAAGAGAGGGCAGGGCTGCCAGTAACGAGCAGAACTGACAAAAACATTGCAAAAAGTTGTCCAGTTGTGCATTAAAAATGTCTGCTGACTGTGAGAAGCATAGCAGACCAAGTAAACATCGACAGAGAAACAGTTAGGAAAATCTTAACTGAAAATCTTGGCATGAGAAAGGTGTGTGCAAAAATGGTACTGAAGGAGCTCACCAAAGAACAAAAGCAAAGGAGAGTCGAAGTTTGCCAAGACCTTTTGGAGAGGCAAGACAATGTTTTGGCTGGGTTTTTACTGGTGATGAAACATGGGTGTTCCAATCCGACCCAGAAACAAAGTGTCAAAGTGCACAATGGAAGTCAGCCAATTCTTCATGACCAAGAAAGTCCTGTCAGTCCAAATCAAGAGTCAAAACGATGTTGCTAACCTTTTTGATATCGGAGGAATTATTCATTATGAATTTCTACCAACTAGACCAAGAGTTAACCAAGTTTACTATTTGGAAGTGCTGAAAAGGCTGTGTGAAAAAGTTAGACACCTGTACTTTTCGCCAACAATTCATGGCTCTTGCCTCACAACAATGTACCAGCTCACACAGCACTGTCTGTGAAGGAGTTTTGAGCCAATAAACAAATCACTGTATTGGAGCAGCCTCCCTACTCACCTGATCTGGCCCCCAATGGCTTCTTTCTTTACCCAAAGATAAAGGAAATATTGAAAGGAAGACATTTTGATGACATTCAGGACATTAAGGGCCAGCTGAGTGGCACGTTGGTTAAGAGCTGGCTTGGGACGCCAGAGGGCCCCGGTTTGGATCCCACGTATGAGGGCCAGTGACACTGCCCTCTACAGCTAAGATGCTGAACAACAGCTCGACCTGGAGCTGGGCTGCCATGAGTCGCCGGCGACGGCATAGGCTGCAGCCCCTGCTGCAGTGGGTTGCCATGGGCTACCGTGTGTAGCCAGCAGCCAGCATGAGCGGCCAGCAGCCGCCGTAAGCAGCCGTCCAGAAGCCGGCGACTGATCTGCCTCAGCCGGGAATAGCACAATGATGGTGCCAACTTGGGCCAGTGAAGCAACGTCCTCCATAACTAGCCTGAAGAACAAAAGGACAGCAACTTGTCTGTTCCCCTTCTCCCAATTCCCCAATAAAAAAAAATCTTAAAAAAAAAAAATAAATAAATAAATAAATAAAAGAGTTCCAGGTGCTGGCCAAGTGGCGCATTGGTTAAGAGCTGGCTTGGGATGCCAGCTCTGAGCAGCAGGGCCACGGTTCGGATCCCACATGAGGACCAGTGATGCTGCACCCTCTATAGCTAAGATGGTGAACAACAGCTTGACCTGATGCTGGGCTGCCGTGAGTTGCTGGTGACGGTGTAGGCTGCAGTGGGGCTGCAGTGGGCTACCGTGAGCCACTGAGCGGTGGTTTAATGGCCGGTGGACAACTGCCTCACCTGGGTAGAGCGCAATGATAATACGAACATGGGCCAGTGAAGCGACGTCCTCCACAACTAGACTGAAGAACAAAAGGACAACAACTTGTCTGTTCCCCTTTCCCGATTCCCCAATGCTGCTCCCCTCCCCCAATTCCCAAATAAAAATCTTTTAAAAAAAAGAAAACGAAAAAGAGTTCCAAAATTGCATTGAAGGGTGGACTAGGTGCTGGCGTCGGTGCATAGCTTCCCAAAGGGAATACTTTGAAGGTGACTGTAGTGATATTCTACAATAAGGTATTAATATGTACCACGTTCTCTAGGATGAATTGCGAACTTAATTGTCAGACCTCAAATACATACGTGGAGTAGTTTTACTTTATCTCATTCTCTATCCACTTCATATTTTATAGGGTTTCTTTATTCAAATATCAGCAAAAGCAATGATATAGTCTTATTTTCTCCACTTATAAAAGGTAGCATACTCCTTATGTTCTTGGTTTTTTTTTTTTTTGTACTTAAAATATTTCCTGGATATCTTTCCATATTATTATAATATATGTAGATATTCTCCCTTTTCTTTTTTTATTCTTGCAACTTTATAATGTTTCTATGCATGGGCATTTGGATCGTTTCTGATATTGTAGTGTTAGAAACAATGCTATAATGAATAAGCTTTATATATACTTCATTCACATGCAGGTATAGAATACATTTTTAGACTTTGGATTTCTCAGTCAAAAAGTATTTGTATTTGAATTTTGAGAGATATTACTAAATTGCCCTCCGTAGGGATAGTATTGTTTTTTACTTCCCAAATTTTGGCGTTTTTTGCAACTGATAGCTTAGAATGGTATTGTACCATAGTTTTAATTTTTATTTCTGTTATATGTTAGATTGAGCATATTTTCATAGATTTAAGAGCAATTTGTATTAAGTATGAACATTTGGAAGATTTTAGGGTATTTTTTGTTTTTAACATTGGTAAATTGCTTTCCAGATTAGCTATACCAACCCATAATCTCACCAGTAATATTTGACAATGCCTGTTTTTCACAGCCTAGAAATAAAAAAAACTTGATTAGCATTTTATATTTCTTTTATGAATTATGTTTGTATCCTTCGCTATGCTGATTCTACTATGCCACCTGCTTTTCAATCCTAAGAATAATTTTCTGAGGCCAAGACTATTCCAGGTTGTTCCATGGAATATTTAAAAAATAATATAAAGAAACATCGCAACTGAAATGCCCATTGATAGACAACTGGATTAAGAAACTATGGTACATTTACACAATGGAGCATTACTCAGCTATAAAGAAGGAAATTGTACCATTTGCAACGATATAGATGGACCTAGCAGACATTATGTTAAGTGAAATAAGTCAGTGAAAGACAAATACCATATGATCTCACTTATATGTGAAATCTAAAAAACTGAATAAATGAAAAACGTAAACAGAAATAGTCTCAGAGACACAGAGGAAAAACTGAGGGTTGCTATTTGGGAGGGGGTGGGAATGAAGGAGAAGGGAAGGGAGGAGACAATACAAATTGGTAACTACAATATGGCCTCAAGGATAGAAAAGACAGTCTGGGGAATATAATCAGTAATGTTGTAAATATTTTTTAGGGAGCCAGATGGACTCATGTCTTGTTAGGGAGACCACTTCATAGACTGTGTAGAGGCCTGACCACTGCACTGTATTTCTGAAGCTGATGTTAAATAATATTGTATGTCAACTATAATTATATATACATATAGTCACGGTATGTGGAGTAGAGTGTGGGAATGGAGTCAATGGAATTGTAATAGATAAGTATGATATTGGGGGTGGGAGGGCAGTGGATGGGAGGAGGGGGGGTTGTTACTTTGTGAGGGGTGAAAAGGATAACTATTGCATTGTTCTGTACACCTGAAACTAATAATAATAATAAAAAAAAATTGCAGGTAAACTTAAAGATACATCCTTTACTCTCAGCCATGGTACTTAGTATCCAAAACTCATTTCATGCTACGGATGCACTAAGCAAGCTACAGCCTATGGAACCAATCAAGGCTACCACCTCTTTTTGTAAGTAAAGTTTTAATGGTACACAGCCATGCTCATTTGTTAATGTATTATTATTATCTGTGACTGCTTTTGCATTACAACAACAGAGTTAAGTAGTTGCAGTCGAGACCTTATGTTCCGCAAACCTAAAATATTTACTACCTGGCCTTTACTGGAAAAATTTGTTGACCCCTGTAGTAAGAGAGCAAGCTATAGTTTGAATAGCATCCAAGGACCACAAAAGGACCTGGGAAAAGCTCAGAGTTCTTACTTGGACAGTTCTGCAGCATTAGAATTGGATTGACTTTTTATGAAAAAAGACATGAGATTTTTTTTGTTCATTAGTTCAGCCTCCAAAAATTGACATTCCATGTTGGATGTGATTCAGTTATATAATTAATTGCGTAGTGAGATATATCATCATTGTGACTGAAGCAATTTCAACACATGATACATAACATGCATGGATTTAAACACAACTTGTCTGATGCATTTTGATTCATGTTTTAACACTATGGAATTGTGTGATCTTTGGCAATTTCTTAACTTCTTTAAAGGCAATTTTTATCAACAAAAGGGCTGAAAAACATAAGTGTCTGGCATACAGTAAAGATGAATAAGCACCCCAATAAATGTTAACTCCTATTTTATTTCCCTGTGTCATTTGTTAAGGAATAATACATTTTCCAAGTATTTTTTTCTTTCATGTATGAATACATACTCTAAACAAAATACTTAAGTCCCTTGAGCTTTTGT